CGTCGTGTAATTGCTTACTCTATCGTTCGTGAGCCGCGAAATGGCGAAGCGTGTCCCATAATTGTTCGGTCTCATTTTTTTTTCTTTTTTTTCTTTCACGAGTCACGAATCGCGATAAACAAAGAACGGGGAGAAAGAAAAATTTCATGGACGTTTCCAGTGGCACAATGGCTCGGTGCGACCTCTTGAACGATATGGAACTAGGTTAGACGAGGAAAAAAATAATACCGTTTTCATAAATTTCGTAATCATTTTTCCTACTTACGTTTAAGTATAGTTATCTTTCTACTTATAAACCATTAACTCTTTCGTTACTAAAGCTCGTCCAACGTGAAAATTCTGAAGATAAGTACAGAGCGTTTCACGCAACTTGGCGGGACTCAATTTTTGAAACTGTCTCAGTTAGAGATAGAGGAAAATCCTTAAATGCTTTTATACATCCCATTTAAAAGTAGTACATTTACATGTGTTTTGGCATTGATACAATCGCGAAATATGATTCCACTATTTTGAAAAAACGAATCGTACATTTTTTGTGTAAATTAATTGACTGTATCCTTTTTGTACTAAATTACTGAATTAGATGGTAAAAAATTAGGGAACTATGGCGGTATTTCAATTTATTTTGAACATATAGCTCAATCCAGTTTCATGAAACAATCTGGTGCGAGAAATTTAAATTGGAACGAAATTTAATTCAGAACGCGTATATATGACATCTTTATTTCAATTTTATTTTAAAAACATTTTTCTGGTCGTACTTAATTCCCCCAGAAATATATTTATTATTATTTATTACTATTATTAGATGTGGATAATAGGAAAATTTAAAAAATACTTTTTTGCATCGTAAACTGTTATTGTTTCCATTCTAATTTATACTTAATATCCTTTTCCATCTTTAAACGCAGTGTCATTTATTTTTCCATCGCTTACAATCACTTTCTTTTAAAGTATCTTATAAAATCTCTGTTTATCACGTAATATTTATTAAACAATTTTCTACCACACAGTAGAACATAATTACACCGCTATAGTTTATAAAAATATTGCAAAATTAGCACTTTTACAAAAATTTTCGAAATTTCGGAATAAATTCGTTACAGAAATTTTCCAGGATGCAATCCTAGGAAACAGTTGCTATCACTTAATTCGGGATCCTGTTATTGATATTCGGCGACCTAGTCATCATAGAAACTTAGCATTTTAGTCAGTACTATTTTAATTACTATGCATGGAGAAAGGTGAGGCAAGAAATTCTACCAAGATGCCATTATTGGTCTTCAGTGACCTAGTCATGGTCACATAAAAACGGAGCATTTTAATCAGTACTACTTTAATTACTATGAAAATGGCGAGGCAAGAAGTTCCTAGGAGGCAAAGGTTAGGTGCTTTCAGGGCACCCTTTATATGAGCGCAGCGAGTCTAAAAACGCGAGGGCGTTGCAAATGTATTCCACGCCGCGATTTCGTTTTCGCTGGCCGTGTCTACAAAGTCGCGGCATCACGGAACGTAAATTCTGTCGCGCGATTATCTACATAATGGGCGAGCGTCGCGAGCGTACAGAAAATTTATCGTCCGACTTCTCGATGAAAATTCATATCTTTGCAGCCGGTGAAATTTTCCTGGCCGGCCGTTTCGACCAAGGAACAGGCCTTCTTCCCACCCCTGATAAATTCTACAGCCTCTGGTCCGTGTCTCCAAAGCGTATTACGCGATGGCTCTTTGTTCTCGACCACTGTTCCAATTTCTGTGGCTACTTTTATCCGCTATTTAATATTTGATTCAGGATTTAAACGTGGATAATTTTTCACTTTAATTGTTTCTGTGAAAAGATCACCTATCCAAGATCCCCTTGGACAATTGGCTTGCACTAATGGCCTCTATAAGTCATGGGTTACAAATTACCGCTATTAAGACATTTTACTGTTTGCTGAGGATGTGGAAGTGAATTTTACGAATTCCGCGTCAGTTGAGTGTTCTATTCCTTGTCACTTGTGTTATTCGTGTACGATGGATAAGAAGTAATACTTCTGATTTAATATTGTTTGATACAATTAATAACAGGCCCCCTGTATAATTGAATAACAACAGGAATCTAATAAATTTCAAAATTTGTAATGAAATTTGAGTTTTATTCTGTTATACAGCGTGTCCCAGAAATGGTAGGGTAGGGGGTGATTCTACGTGAAAAAACAAATCGAAAATAAAGAATACAATTTTTTGATTCGAAGCTTCGTTGTTGAGAAAATCGACTTTGAATGTTCACTGAGTGCACCGGTGTTCTTATGGTACATCCACCATATTGTCAGCCAAAGTTAAGTGCGCGTGTACTCGGTGCATATTCAAAATCGATTTCTTCTTAAACGAAGATTCGAATGAAGAAATTTTATTCTTCATTTTCGATTTGCTTTTTCATGTAGAATTATCTCCTTCCAGATTGTACTACTGTTGCTGGAGCACCCTATATATGAGTCGGAGTATATAAAATGTAGTAGATAAAAATTTTAGTTGTTTAATTTGTAACAATGAGAAATTGTTTTATAAAATTATTGGCCAAATTAATTTGCTACGTGTCAATTAACCAGTGATATTCGTTGGTTGATTGTAGTGCAGAAGGGTATACTACGCTATTACAGAATTTGGTCTGCAAAGTGTGCATTGTATTAATTCGAAGCATAGATTATTAGTAATTAATCACGATGAAATCAGAGAACAATTAATTTAACACGTATTCCCAATTATAATCCGTCATAATCTAATCCATAGTTTATTGTAAACTTACTGTCAGATAATTATGTTAACCTATATATTATAGCATAATACAATTTGCCAAATATTTTTATTAAAGAACGAATTAATTGTAATTTTGTTTCCCTCCTACTCTTTGTTCTTCTAACCTTTGATTAGAGACACCTAAAATGTACCAACATCTTTTGAAACATTCAAGTAAACCTAACCTCTTATCCTAACCTATTTCACTCTAAAACAACTAAAATTGGATTAAAAATAGGTTATCTTTGACAAAATATAACGAAATATTCGATCAAATATTCTAATATATTCTGAAAAGAATATATTATTATTCGAAAATTATTAAAGAATATATTATTATATGTTAGATAAACCTAACCTCTCACCTTAAACTACATTACTATAAAAGAACCAAAATTCGATTAAAAATAAGTTATCATCGAATAATTTATCCATTCACAAAACAAAACCTTTATTTAACCTTATTTCATTAGTACTCACATAATTCACATACACTAGAGATAAATCTAACCTCTAACCCTAACCTATATTACTATAAAACAACAAAAATTCGATTAAAAATGTTATTATCGAATAATTTATCCATGTACAATATAAAACCTTCTTTATTTAACCTTCTTTCATTCCTACTCACATAATTCACATACACTAGAGATAAATCTAACCTCTAACCCTAACCTATATTACTCCGAAAAGCATAATTCACATACACTAGAGACAAATCTAACCTCTAACCCTAACCTATATTACTCCGAAACAACCAAAATTTGATTAAAAATAGGATATAATGGTACAAATTATCCATTCACAAAACAAAACTTTCTTTATTTAACCTTGTTTCATTTCTACTCACATAATTCACATAGACTAGAGATAAATCTAACCTCTTACCGTAACCTATATTACTATAAAACAAACAAAAATTTGATCAAAAATACGTTAACATCGAATAATTTATCCATTCGCAAAATATAACCTTTTTTATTTAACACTGTTTCATTCCCACTCACATAACTCTCACACACTACAAATAAACCTTACCTTAACCTTATCTACACTCATACACTAAAGATAACGTCTTACCCTAACCTATATTACTATAAAACAACATAAAAAATTCGATTAAAAATGAGTTATCATGGAATAAATTATCCATTCGCAAAATAAAACTTTCTTTATTCACCATTGTTTCATTCGCAATCACATAATTCACATACACTGCAACATAAACAATTCCTATTAATAAAAGTAAAATAACTGCACGAATATTATAAGGATACCGAAAATAATTTTTCATCGACCTTCCAAGCCGAATAAAACGTCCTTTCGTTCGAAGACACCCTGTATTGTGCTCCTAGGGACATGTGCGCGCGCGCGCGCGCGCACGTATGCACACAGGAAGCCCGAAGGAAATGTCTGGCAGACGCCGGGGAACGTGATATCCGAAGTCACTCACGAATTCATAGGATCCCTTTCTTCTTTGTTTTCCTCCGCGCGGCCGTGTAACTCGCACGCGACCACGCGTACCGATTCGGTAATGTTCCCGAGGATTTCCCGGCAATCTCGGCCCGCTTTCCTCCAAATCTCCCGGCAATGAGCCGCGTGATGTTTTTCTTCCCCGCCTCCCACCTGACGCCCGTCTCCGTGTTCCTGGCTGACGGTCAGGAGCTGAATTTTGGATGTTGCCGGGAGCCTCGTAT